ACCTTTCCTTCCTTAATTTTGGGTGTCAAGTATTTTGTCCCAGCGATGAGAGAAAAGTAACCAAGACAGCTAAACTCACTGAGAATATGGATACATACGGCAGACCTCATTCAGACTTTTTTTTTCTCATTTTGGCAGACAGAGGACAGGAGATGCTTAAAAGAAAAGCCAGCAAGACTGCATCCCAGAGGAGAAAACCAGACTGGAATGAAGGAATACGGGATGGAGAGCAGAGGTCTCTCTGGCCGCAAAGCTGTTCAGTTAGTGGCACTCTATTTCTCTGTGCTCCTGTATTTTCAAGTTTTCTGCCTGAGACGACTCAGTTCCATTTGTAATTTGGGGTATAGGAAGGGAAGGTTGATAACAAAACAAATAAAAATAAATCTACCAACCGTCCCCCTGGGTAGTCTCACTTGTTATGAGCCTCCAGATATTGATTCCCAATAATCAAGTTCATGGGCCGTGAGTTTCTGCTTTTTAGATATCACTGGGAGGCAGCTTGGTTTTTTCAGTTGTTAATTTTCTGCTGAAAAAATGAGTGAATGAGTGAGTGAGTGACTGACTGACTGACTGTCTTTTTAGGAGGCACGGAGAACCATCTCTCCTTCCAGGCTCCCAGGATCACCAGCAGCTCTTTGGCTTAAATTGCAACTAGTTACATGCAGGGTCACTTTGCCCAGCTGCACTGAGCTTTGCTAGAAAGCCAGTTTCCTGGCACAGGCTCCTGAACAACTATTAGAAACACAGTGAATGATTCTAAAAGGTGGGAAGAAAGGAAGCAAAGAAGGGACGCACATGTCTTCTGCATTTTTGCACAGCAATCTTGGAGCGTTGTCATCAGACAACAGTTTGACTTAGGGGAAGGGGCCAGGAAGGGTGCGAGCCTCACCCGCCTCTACACCCCACACTGTGAGGAGAAAGGGCACGTTACCTCATAGTTGGGGTATGGATGTCAGATTCCCCTGAAATCAGAGCTGCCTCTGGGGACAGGTTGCCCAAGCTGGCCCGGCTGCCTTTCCGGGAAGATTCTCGAAACAAGCCAGCACCAGGATCTTCGTCAGAGGAGTTGTCATCAAAGGAGCCCACAATGAAGTTGGTCATCATCTGCCTCTTTATGTGTGCCTGCCTCTCGCGCTCTCTGGAAAGGGATGAGCCTCGCTGGCTCTGGGGCCTGGCTGGGGAGGACGGGCAGTTGGTACATGGGGCCTCTGGGCCTTGGGCGTCCGTCCCGTTGGTTTGATGTTCTGAGGAAGGCCATGTGTCACTGGAAGAAACAGGGTTTCTTGGGGGCTTCTGGTGTGAGGACGGCAGGGAGTTTCTCTGCGGGCAGGCATGTTTGGGGTCTTTGTGGGAGGCTGGCTCTGGCTGGTTAGGAGTATCCGAAAGAGAGCTGCTGTGGCCGCCATTCATTTGCAAGGGCTCTTCAAAACTGTCTGAGGCTTGAAAGGTCTCCTGGTCCGTGCTGAAGCTCACTTCTGTGTTACTGTTGGTCACTGGCTTGGACTCCGTCATCTTCCCCCAGACTTTTAACCAGGTCAGGCAGGAGAAAATCAGGCAAGATAGAAAAAGAAGGAAGACCATTCAGGAAATCTATAAAGAGAAAAAAGAGACATTTTATGGTTCACATAATAGTTTTTTGCTCTTAAAGGCACTAGAGGTGTAAGAGGTAGTTGGAGTTCGAGACACAGGACAGAGAGTAGCGATGGGGTTCTCCTCCCAACTCCGTCCATAATGTGCTTTGTGGCCTTGGGTATGTTTAACAGCCCTCGAGGATCTGTTTCCTGAATCTAATTTAGGCACATATAGTGGCATGAGGGTGTCTTCCAAAGTTTGTGTGCTAGAAGTTCACTTTCCAATATAATAATGTCAAGACTGTGGGCTCTCTAAGAGGCAGTAAGGCGATGAGGACAGGGGGCAAACGCTGTTATTGTGGGAGTGGATTTGTTATCTTGAAGGTGGATTTTTATAAAATAATTTCAGACCCCTCTTGTTCTCTTTTAAGCACTCTCTTGCCCTGCTGCCATGGGATGATGCAGTAAGATTGCCCTTGCTAGACACAGGAACTTTGATCTTGGGCTTCTCAGCCTCCTCAACCTTAAAAAAAAAATCTGTTTTTTATAAATTACCCAGACTCAGGTATTCTGTCATATTACCATGAAACAGACTAAGATAGTATACAGTTCAACAGTACTAAAAATATAGCTCCTCTGCATAAGTCATAAACATGCATGTAGAAGATAACAAATGAGATAATACACATTAAAGGACTACATTCTAGCAGTGTTATGCACACACCACAAAGTAAAAACAACCCAAGTGCCTATTAATTAATGAATATATAAACAGAATGTGATATACCCATACAATGGGATATTATTTGGTGATAGCAAAGAATGAAGCACTGATCCAAGCTACAAGGTGGGTGAAATTTGAAAACATCAAACTAAGTGAAGAAGCTCACCACAAAAGATCATAGACGGTATGGTCCTGTGTACATGAACTGTTCAGAATAGGGAAATCCATAGAGACAGAAAGATTAGTGGTTGCCGGGGAGGATGGGGGTAATGGGAAAGCTATGATGGCTAAAATGTCAAGGGCTTCTGTTTGGGGTGATGAAAACATTCTAAAGCTGGTTGTGGTGACGGGTCCACAACTGTCTGAACACACTGAAAAACAGACTTTATCTTTCCATGAGTGGTATGCAAATTACATCTTGACAAAGCTGCTATTAAAGACTCAGCTGTATAGTTAGCCCTCTGTATCTGTGGGTTCCATGTCTGTGATTCAACTAGCGACAAATCAAAAATATTTGAGGTGGGGGTTGTACCCGTACTGAACATATACAGACTTTTTCATTATTTTCTCTATATAATAGAGTATAACAGCTGTTTATACAGCGTCACTATTGCATTAGGGACTATAATCTAGAGAGGATTTAAAGTATATGGGAGGATTTGTATAGTTTAAACACACTGTCTTATGTAAGAATTTGGCATCCATGTAGGTTCCTGGAACCAATGTGCTGAGGATACCGAAGAACGACCGTATTCTACTTTATAAGTAGAAAGGTATTACTGTTTCTGCTAACAGTAGTGCCAACAGGTACTACTGTTTCTTCCTAATCAGCACCGTCATCATCACTGCATCATTATCAGAGTCATCATCCCGGCCCTGGAAGCAGGAAGGGCACCCTGCCATACCCTCCAGTACACCTGACTTAGGTGTGCCTACCACTGAGGTGAAGTTCCACCTGGTGTGGGGATCTGCTCTAGGGTTTAGAACACTGTCTATGAGGGCTTACAAGTACATATGGAATGAACTGATTCAGATAGTCTGATTTCTCCTAGCCAAGTACTATCAGGTCTGATCCTCCTTAGCTTCTGAGATCTGAGATTGGACAATATTGTCATACTGTGGCCCCAGACAGATACTCTGATTTCTAAGCCAGGCCTCTTCTTACCAGACTAACCATGCTCTGTTAATGAGTAGATAATTGTTATTGGAAGGAAATACTGTTTTTCACAAAAAGGACTTGAACATCCTTCAACAATTTCTCAATCAATTTTGCAGGCTGTGGAGGTAGCTCAGTGGTAGAGCACTTGCCTAGCTGGTTTGACCCAAGTGCTACAAAAATAAATAAATAAATGAACCAATTTGCCACAATTATGTGCCAAAAGTATTAAAAAAAAATCAGGGGGCTGGGGATTTAGCTCAGCGGCAAAAGCGCCTGCCTGGCAAGCACAAGGTCGTGAGTTCGGTTCCCGGTACCAGAGAAAAACAAAAAAAAACAAAAAAAAAAAAAAAAAAAAAATCAGGACTACAAAGCTCAAGCAGATCAATTTGATATCTAAATAGTATTTTTTTTTTTTTACATAGTTTCAACCCATTGTCCTGAAGGGAAGCGGCAAAGTTCTCAAGAACACTCTTGGAAACAAAATTCTTGAAATGTTGGCCAGGGTATTTTGTAAGCTACATACACACAGGGTCAGGAGGCTTGTTTCTTTTAATGTCATAATTTTTCTTTTTATAGAAAAGTAAGTCAAAGGTGGTTCAACATCAACACAACACACCATGTTAACAGAACAAAGGAAAAGGCTCATGATCATTTACACACACACACACACACACACACACGCACACACACACACACACACACAAGGCATTTGACAAAATTAAACAACTTTTCCTGATTGAGAAAAAATATTCAGCAAAGTAGGAGCAGAGTAATAAAAAGTGCATTTATAAAAAACAGCTAACATAGCCAGGCATGGTGGTACACCTATAACCCCAGGATTTGGGAGGCTGAGGCAGGAAGATCCTTGAGAGTTCAAGGCCAGCCTGGGCTACAAAGTGAGCTCAAGGCCAGCCTGAATTGCATAGTGAGACCCTGTCTCAAAAAGACAAAACAAACAAAACAAAACAAAACAAAAACAACAGCTAACATCACACTCAATGATGAAAGACAGTAGATAGAGTTCCTTCTGAGAGCAGAGCTAAGACTAAGATGCCCACCCCTTTCATTGCTATTCCACACTATGCTAAAAGTTCTATAGAGAGCAATTAGAAATAAGAAGAAAGAAAAGCCATCCAATCGCACAGGAAGAGGTAAAATCATCTCTATTTGCAGAACATGTAATCTTATGATACACAGGAAATCCCAAAGAATTCACACAACAGATTCCTAGACACAACTGATTCAGTTGTAGGATGTAAGATATCAACACACACAAATCAGTTGTATCTGTATACATAAGCAATTAGCAATCTGAAAAGGAAGTAAAGGAAATAATTTGGTACTTCAACAATGTACTAACAAAAATAAAAATTAAAAAGAGCAAACAAGAAAAAAGTGGAATTTTTCTAACTTTAAATGTACTATAGCTGGCTCTGGTGGTGCACGCCTATAATCCTGGCACTCAGGAGGCTGAGGCAGGAAGATTGCTGTGAATTCGAAGCCAGCCTCAGCTGCATAGTGAGTTCAAGGTCAGCCTGAACTGCAGAACGAGACCCTGTCTCAAAAACAAATAGACAAGAAATTGTACTATATTAAATAACAATAAAAACTGCATAGCCTAATCTATCCCTTCTAATGTCAGCAAAAAGAAAGAAATAATAAAAGAATGATTCCATTAACAAATAGTATCCAAAAGAATAAAACATCTGGCAATACATTTAACTAAGGAGGTGAAAGATCTGTATAGTGAAAACTACAAAACACTGATGATACAAATTAGAGAAGCCTGAAGTGGAAAGACATACCACACTCATGGACAGGAAGACTCAGTGTTGCTCAGTATTCGGCTGTGCTATCCAAAGGAATACAGATTCCTACCGCATGGCAAAGGGCCTCAAGTAGCCAAAACAATCTTTAAAAATAACAGAGGCTCACATTTCTCGATTTCAAAATTTACTACAGAGCTATAGTAAATAAAGCTATGGCACTGCCACGAGGTTAGACTAATGGGATAGATTAAAACGCAAATCTAAACCCATATATCGACTGAGTTTATTTTTCCCAACATGATCAAGACCACTCAATACATAAAGAATAGTGTCCAACATGTGGTGTTGGGATAAATACATTTTCACATACAGAAGAATGAGATTGGGTCCTCCTTCATATGATATATAATACTTAATTCAAGATGGACCAAAGACCTAAATAAAAGAGCTAAGAATCATAAAATTCTGAGAAGAAAAACATAGGGATAAATCTTCATGACCATGGGTTTAACAATGGATTCTTAAATATTACACTAAAAGCACTAGCAACACAAGAAAAAAAATAAATTGGACTTTACCAAAATCAAAAATTTTTGTGACTCAAAGGATACCATTAAAATATTGAAAGATAATCTACAGAATGAGATTGATATTTGCAAACCATGTTTCTGATAAGGGTCCAGTGTCCAGATAGATAAACAACTACAACTCAACAACAAAACCACAACCAATTTATTTTTATTTTTATTTTTATCTATTTTAAAGAGTAAAAGAAGGATAACATAATAATAGGGGGGCTTACCAAATTACAGACAAAGTGGTAGGAAATTATCAATGGTTATTGTTTTACATATTGTTATTTACAAGATAGTTTCTCAGGAAAACAAATAGACAAATAATAGTGAGTTACAGACAAAAGAGGTAGAAGATTATCAATAGTTGTTGTACTATACTTTGGTATCTTCACAGTGGCTTCTAAAGAAAATACATAGAGCTATACATGAGTGACCTATCCAATTTACTTTTAAAATGGGCAAAAAACTTGAATAAATATTTCTCAGAGAGACACACAACTATTCAATAAACACAAGAAAAGATATTCAACATCTTTAGTCATAAATTCAAACCAAAACCAAAATGACACATCAGGGCTGGGAATACAGCTCAGTGGCACAGTGCCTGCCTGGTGAGCGCAAGGTCCTGAGTTCAATTCCCAGTAAAAAAAAAAAAGACACATCAACTAGGATGGATATAATCCAGAAAAAAGAGGGGTGGGGGTTGCAAGGAAGGGGAAAGCACAAGCAGTACAGTGGTTTGCGAGTGTCCCCCAAAGGTTCATGTGTTAAAGGTGTGGTCCCCAGGGCAGT